ATTTCTAAAGATCTCTCAAAATTAAACACCAAAACTTTTAATTTTCATTAACAGCTGAGTGTTTACCCTTGAGGAGTAGTGCAATCAGCTAAGTACTCAGTGACTAATTAAAAGATGACCTGAATCCATACACAGGCACCACGGAAGCCTGGTAATTTACCTCCAAAACATCATAGCCATTCAAAATCCTACCAGTTACATTCTACCCTGAAGCACACATGGGCACCCTGAGTTAGAGATGAGCTGAGTCACTGAGGTTTAACACATGCTAAACAATGTCCTAGTATCTTTCCTGTATTAAGTCACCTGCAACCAGAAAAACTGAAGTAAAATATATTATTATTCCCAAAGGAAAAAGAGACAAAAGTTAATTAACTTAGCCACAATCAAAGAGCATATAAATGGCAGTCACAGATTAAAAAGACTCCCCCCCGCAAAAAAAATCCCAAAACCCAAAAAAACCAAACACAGACTTTTGAGTCCATTTTAAAACATTTAAATGTTGGTCTATTGGTCACAGATTAGCAACTTCATCATAAATTATTTTATTTAGTGCATGCATCGAGCTTTTATTCCATTATCAAGTATTTATCTAACAGGTTCTATGTGTCAGGTACTAAGTCAATGATGAGAAACATGCAAAGTCTCCCTCTCCAAGCACTTTATTGGTTGAAGGAAGGAAAAGAGGAGAATAATTTTTACAGTTAATGCAATGGGGAAAATGAAGAGGAGGAGTCAAGATTTGCATACCCAAAAATCTAAAGGCAAAAGCTTCCCTGTCTAGGTGAACGAGGCTTCAGACAAGACCAGGCTTATCTGTGTAACCAAAACACACATTAAGTAATACGATGAGGTTACCTGTCATACTGGCTAGTCTGTACTGGGTCTTACAAGCAGCATTTGCAGACAGTATCTGGATTTTTTGTTTGTTGGTAATTTTAATAGGGAGGCACTGAAGGTGTTTGGACAGGAAAATTATATGAGTGCGCTCTGGTGGCCAAACGGGGAGGGTGCTATGCTGCCAACTCACAGGCGATTTAAATCTACTGCTCACCTTGAAGGAGAAAGATGAGAAATCTTCCCCATGGGATTTATAGCCTCTGAAAACCCACTGGTAGGTCAGCTAGAGGTTGGTTCTGAATCAACAGCAATGAGTGAATGACTAGGGCAAAAGTCACTTTGACTATATATGAAGAATAAGTTTTAAAAAACTTGTTGCCTCCCGGTCAGTTCTAACTTACCTTAACAGCCTGTGTGGCAGAGTAAAAGTGAGTTCTACAGGGGTTTTCAGGGCTGTGTGACCTTTCGGAACAATAAGACCTCTCTTCCAAGGCACCGCTTGGTGAGCTAAACTTGTGTACCATCTAGTCGGAACTGACTCAGAGCTGACCGACCCTCCGCTGGGTTTTCAATCTGGCGTTCACAGGGTTGCTAAAGGTCAGTGTTGACTCAAAAGGACCTAACATGCATTGGAGAATGAGTATGAGCTTGCGTAAGTCACAGAAGAGATGATAAAGAGTAGAAAGAGTAAGATCCATTTTGAACAAAGACAACAAAATACGCTGACTTCTTAATAGCGCAGGGAGGGGAGTATGACTGTAATATGTAGTCAGAAATGGCACTAAGATTTCTGGCTATAGCAATAAACTAAACTCACTGTTAAATTCTGCAAAAAGGAGAAAGGAATGGGTAAAAGAGCGCTGGTGGCCTAGTGGGAAGGATTTGGGCTCCAAACCCACAGGCACAGAGGTTCAATCCTCCAGCTGCTGTGAGACAAGGAAGAGCAAGTTCCTCCTGCACAAGTTACAAACCCCAAAAACCGGCTGGAGAGTCAGCCACGAGGGTTCCAACTCGAAGGTACACAACAACAAAACCTTAATTTGGAGTCTAGATAGCACAAATGGTTTAGTGCCCAACTACAATTCAAAAAGTTTTCTAGGTTGAGCCGACTCAAGAGGTGAAAAGGTCTCGGTTAAAAACCCCAGTTCTGTTGTAAAAATACGTCAGATTTATGGTGAGCTCTAGTGGCCTAGTGGCAAGCAGATGCACTGCCATCCCAGAGGTGCACGGTTCGAATCCACCAGATGCTCTGCTGGAGAAGGAGAGGCAATCTCCTCCTGTACCAGTCAGATCTGATTTGATGGTACACACACAAAATATAGTAAAAATAGGAAGAAAAAAACCCATCCATAAAACACATCAGATTTAACATATGCCATTAGATGGTCATAGTTGGCATGCAGAAGGGCTCACTGCTGTCTAATATTTCACTGCTGGATGATAAAATGCTAAGAATAATCACATTTAAAGGTCAATAAAAGCACACACAATTACAAATATTGTTATGAATGCACAACATAAAAGACCTTAATCTACAAACGGAGTTACAGACTAGGAAAGTCTTCTAAACTTTCATTTCTCCCATACAAAACATACATACTGGCTACTAGGATAAACTCATTTGTAAAAAAAAATCCAAGTAATTATCTAAAATCTTTTCTAAAAAAAATAAATCAACTTTATAACACAAGAAAAGCTGAATTACTAGACCAATATCAACCCCAAATCCCCAAAATCTCCTGCCATCAAGTCAGTATAATCTGATAGTTATGTGCCTTGAGTCAGAACTGACTCATAGCTTGTCCTCTAGAGGTTTTTCTGAGGTTGTAAATCCTGCACAGAGCAGCCGACGGATTGGAACTACCTGCTTTTTGGGTGGCAGGAGAGTTCCTTACCAGTGGACCACCAGAGCTCCCTCATCTTTTCAGGTACTTGTACAACAAAGAACAATTGTGGGGCTCCCAAACTTCTGAATCTTTACGACTCAAACGGCTTCATTTTTCTCCCAAGGAATGGCTTGTGGTTAGCCGCTGAATGCTTTGCACAATGTGACACCAGGACATCTTAGATCAATTCCTATGGGGTCAAATCTACTAAAATGATGTATTTAAGAGAATACAGGCACAAAATACTGCTTGTGCATTCTGAGATGAAATCTTAGTAGTAATGGAATACATTTAACACTTCAAAAATGCAAATTCCTTGAGTTCTTATTCTTTATTAAAGTTTAAAGTACTCATTGACAAAGCAATGCTTATGAAAGTTAAATAATTTAGAATTACTTGCTCTTAGGTTTAAAGTTAAAGATAAAAACTTTACAAAGTAACAGCTCTCATTTTTAAATAGAATTTTGGGAATGATCATTCCTTTTATAAATGTAATGAAGGACTATGCTTATTCCTATTTGTCATATAGCATCTCTACCATTTACCATTCAGAAAATATCAAATTTATAGAGTTCTAGGTTTGTGAAAGCCCTAGCGGCCAAGTCCATATGGAGACACACTGCTCACCCAAGGACTCCATCTCTCTAGTGGTTCCAATTGACCAGCTGCTCCAAAAATGGGAGAAAGATGGGCAATCTCCTTCTGTCATTTGCAGCCTCTAAAAACTTGTGGGAGAGTCACCTATGAGTCAATTCTGTCAATGAACTGTCTTGTTTTTTTGAACTTGTGACAATGCCATGGGATGTTTACACACTAAGATGGTCTCAGGAACATCACTTTGCATCACAATCACCTGGAGGGCTTGTTCAACTACAGCCAGACTTTGAGACTCAGTAGGGCTGGGCTATTTTCACTTCGAACTAACAAAGCAAACTGGGCCAGATGCTGCTGAACACCACTCTCATACATATCTCCTACAGTCCTTGGGTCTAACTCAGGGCAATTTTCTGGGTTTTCAGATTGTAAATCTTACTGCCTCATCTGTTTCCTGCAGAGCAGCTGATGGGTTTGAAAAACCAACCCAACATGTAATGCTTTATGAAAATTTTTATTAAAATTATTTACTCCTTATAGAAGTTTTTCTAAATCATTCATGGATTGTCCTCTGGATCAGACATCCATCATGTACTTTTGAAAAGTAAAGAATAGACATACTTGAACTCAAGTCTAATTATGGGTAAAAGCCAAGACAATTCTGGACTCCCAAACCGTATTTTAAAGAAATTAATTCTGTGCTATTATCAAAATGTATGCAATGTTTCCAACAGGCAAACTGAGAAACAGAAAATGTAGTTGCGGTTGTCCAGGGCTGGGGTTGGAGGAAATGAAAAATAATGGCTGACTGGACTAGGTAGTTCCACTGCGGTCTCTCAGAGTACACCAAGAATTCTAATTAGAATCTCAATTTTATAAATGTGTACTCTCTAAACTGTTATTTTTAAAAGAAGGTTTGTTATACTAACCCTTTACACTATTACTGATCTGTTAAATTTCCTACTTGTCCCACATAAAGATACCCTATCAAAAAACCATTCAAAATCTAAAATTCTATACCAGTGAATTTATCCAGTAATTACAAAGGTTTTTATAGATACAGAAATAGAATTTTCAGAATTGAGATAGACCTACAGCGATCCCATTCACCTAGAAATAAGTGTTAACTTTCAGTTAAAAATTATTTTAAAAAGATTGTTTTACCAGATAGGTAAATATAGACCACGCGTATCCACTAGAGGCAGCAAAGTAGGCACCGCACCTCTAAGGGCCATACAAATGAGTGAGAAATCTCATTCTGAGCTCACCTTTCCCAGAATATACAATTTTGTTTCTAAATCACAAAATCTGAAATACATCAAGTAATCCTCACAGAGCCTATGTTTATCAAATGGGAAAATTAATGCCTTTTCTAAAACTTCCCTTCCAAAATTCTCACCCAGCTATTATTCTCCTTGCTGGGAGAATGTAAGTACTTCCTTTTATGGTTAAGGAACTGTAGATTCCAATCTTTTTAAAAAGTTACATGTAAATTGTCTAATCTGTACCCCTCAAAACCCAAATTCTTTCAGGAGACTTAATACCCTTTTCCACATTTCCAAAATTATTTTAAAAACTTCTGTTATTGCTCATTGAATTAATCTCTGTTTTTGTTTTTTACATGTTAGGCCCAAGAACTCAAATGAATTCTGATTTTCCTTTACAACTAAATGGACTTACGTCTCATGAGTTCCAAAAAAGAAAATGGGTAGTTTGTTTGTGGGCGGTTTTACAGCTCCATCAGGAACTTCATCCACCTACAAGAAAGATCAGAAAAATTGAAATATTTTATATCCAATACACATATCAAGAAATCCCAAAGAGATCTGTAAAACTAACCACCTCTACAGGACCAAACCCCTCCAACCACAGTTCTGAAATACAAGCATCTCTGAAAGCCTTTATTTTCTTCCAAACTCATTTTGGTAACAAAATCTGGAAAAACAAAGACTTAATTTGGTCACTGCTACTGCTTTAACCTATCTTGTGTGAATAATGATTGTTTCCCTGTAAAAATGGCTTCTATTCTCATGTGCTCACGCTACCTGAGACCTTATCAGAGATGACAATCTTTTCCAAAATCCCAAAACTTTACTTACCTTGCTGTAAGAATTTTAGATAAGGGAACATGAACTTGTTCAGCAATCTTAAATCCTAAAGGATACTTCTACAAAACATACTATACTCATTAAAGTAAAAAAAAAAAAAAAAAAGACCCTAAAACAACAAACATACAATACAAATAACAGTCATGTAAAAACATTAGTAAGTAAGAATATAAAGGGAGCTCTGGTGGCCTAGTGGCAAGAAACTGTGCTGCAATCCTAAAGGCCCATAGTTCAAATCCACCAGATACTACGCTAGAGAAGGAAGGACAATCTCTTCCTCTGCTAGGAGGATCTGATTTGAAGATACACAACAACAACAACAAGACTAGACACAGGTGGTGAATCAGACATTTACCCTTTCCTTCTGTGTATTTCTTTCAATTTTGAAAATAAAGCTATCAGATGCTAATATAACTAATTCACCACCAAGTAATACTTGTATTAATAAACTTTCATTAACAAAAGAAAAGCTCATCTTAGGTATAACACCATTTGTATCTACACAAAATTCCCTAACATTTCTTTCTTCAACTTCCTAATTTTCCTAATTTCAAAGAACTCAAAGTACAAAAGTATCTGGGGATGTACCGGAGAGTGGACACCAGAGGGCTTGCTGCTCTGTGTGCTTTCAAAGCTGAATCATGGAGTATAAAGGTGAGAGAGAGAGAGAGAGAGAGAGAGAGAGAGAGTGAGTGAGTGTGTGTGTGAGAGTGTGAGTGTGTATGTACAGTCAAATCAGATCTGATTGGTACAGGAGGAGATTGCCCCTCCTCCTTCAGCAGAGCATCTGGTGGATTCAAACCACAGTTACCTCTGGGATTGCAGTGCAGCTTCCTGCCACTAGGCCACCAGAGCTCCCCAAAGGTGAGATTTTTTGAGGGGTATTCTGGAGATTTAGAATATTAACAGAATAATGGTGATGTCATGTCTAACACTCCGAGGAGACTTCAAAAATTGACATTTTATAGACCTGACCTACTAACTGGGAGTAGATTTTAACACAACCATCCTCCAGCCTTAAATGTCTCTGTATCTAGAAAACTGAGTTACAATTTTTAAAAATTATTTTAAGAATCATTATTGGTATAACAATGACAAGACTTAAACATTAAAAATTTTTAAAATATATAAACAATGAAATAATTAGAAGTTGAAACTGGAAAATGGTGTCACTTTCACACTGGATACCAATACATGCAACATCGGCTGGCTTAGTGATAAAGAACTGTTCTGACAATGCAAAAGTACGTGGTTCAAATCCACCAGCCCGTGGATAATGAAATATGGTGGGAGAAACACAGGCCATCTAAATCTCTCTAAATCTCTTTCCACATAATTAACCGCCTCTGAAAACCTGCTGGAAGGCCAAATGTGGGTCAGTTCCAACTTGACAGTATACAACAAATGCTCCAAAGTAGAGATTTACAAACTTGTGAGCCTGAGAGAACACAGAAAAAGGAATGCAATGCTTGGGGCACAGTAACAACCGTGAAGAAGCTCAGATGCTTCCAAAGGAGGGGGCTGCAGTGGGCAAATCGTGAAAGACAAGAAATTCCCATTCCAGTTAAATATAGAAGACTATGATTCTAACTAGCTCATTGCTATCAGGTGGGCACCAACTCATAGCTGACCCTCCAGTGGGTTTCCAGAAGCTGTAAAATGAAAGGGAGGAGTCGGCCTAACTTTGTTCCTAGCAGCAGATGGTGGATTCAAACCACTTACTTCTCTGGGCTGGAAGACAGACTGCTACCTCTTATGCCAGCAGAGCTCCTAAAGCTGCTTTATTTTTTTTAAACAGTACTAATTCACGGTCGCCTGGAAGGCTGTAGAAAAGATGACTGGGCATAAGATATAGAATTTAAAAAATATTTTCAGCAGGCTTTGGTGGCCTAGTGGCAAGAAACTGCACTGCAATCCTAGAGGTGAGAGGTTCTAATCCACCAGATGCTCTTCTGGAGAAGGAGGAACAATCTCTTCCTGTACCAGTTAGATCTGATTTGCCTGTATACACACACACACACACTAAAAATATTTACACTTGACATTTAATGCACTGTTGCATGAGAATCTGAGTATGTACCACTAAATATATTTTGCAACACTTTGTATTCTAAAAATGATAAAAATGGCAAAGTATTCCTGGAAGAACTTCAAATAGTTTTTCTAGCTCTATTTAAGCATAAACTATAGAATCTTTTAACTGTATGATCATGCCGTAGATGTGAAGGGTGTACAGAAATTTTTATAACTATTTCTAACTGTTGTCTTCGAGATTATAACGTGGAGGTGAAAGGTTAAAAAAAGCTTTTCATTTGCAAAACAAAAAACTTCACAAAGTATTAGGAAAGAAGGTTATCACAGAAGAAAATTCCACATACAAAACGATGAAGATTACAGATTAAGGTATTTGATGTGGGGGGAAGGAAGAGCTGGCAAGAAAAAAAAAATCAAGGACAGTAGATTTCTTATTGGACAGCACTCTCAGTTTCTCACTCCATGAGCCTGCTATGTGCCAGTGCATCGTAACTCACAGCTGACCCTCCAAAAGGGTTTTCAAAAACTGTAAATCTCACAGGAGAATATCCATTTTACTCTCCCAGAGCAGATGGTAGATTTGAACCACATGCCTTTGGGTTGGCAGCTCAACACCTTACCACTAGGTCATCAGGGCTTACTTAGGTCTAATTAACAGGTATTCTTTCCACTCCCCCCCACCCCAGCTGATGTAAGTTGAAATCACCATATTTAATTATCCTTAAAGCAGAATAAGTCAGTAGAATATGACAAAAATACTAAAAAAAAAAAAAAAAAAATTACAACTACAGAATACATTTATATTTCAAAAATATCTTGAATTTCCTTAAACCCCACGGATGAAAACCCTTCTTTTGGTTTCATGGCTATTTTAGAATCTGGTCCCTCCATAAACAAAATGACTATTTTTTTTTAAAAAATGTAATACTTAAGATTTCTAGATGGAGTCTAAATTTCACCAAACAGCCTACATCCTTCATCACTCCTCTGTTAACTAGCCATAAACCCAGGAATCTCATCCCACCCTTCCTTCTGCCTACAATAAACCACCAAACAGAGAAAACTTCAAGGTCATAAGGAAAATTCTATCAATAAAACCCCAGACATTTCCTAAGCCTTCTTCAGTGCTAACTTACTGTACAATTCTCAAAAATGTCCAATCTCCCATCTCTTTACTCACACACACAGATGGCCCCCATCATCAGTTACAAAACATTTAAAAAGAAAATAAATAAAATCACAACCCCCAAACCCGCCAAGACCCCATCAACGGAATCGTGCATTATTTCTCCTTTTGCCTAGTCTAAAGTTAGCATGTGATTTGCATAGATTGCAAGCTGTTTTTGCATTTTATTCAAAAATTACGACAAGAATCTATCCGGTTCGGGATCGAAAGGCCACAGATGCTGATTTTCCTCTACACTGGAGCACTAATCGGCTTCTCTGCTAAATGTTTCCTATTGAGAAAATCTGCCCAAAATAGACAAGGATGCAGGATCACCTGGAAATTCGTAATTAGTTGGGAGATTAACTGGGTAAAAACCTGCCACACACACACACAGACACACACACACAAAAAGGGTCATGTTACCAACGAGCTTGAATGGAGGGAAGGGGGGACAGAAGGGAGACACGGGGGGGGACAGGGTAGGAAGCAGGCCCGCGAGCGAGGCAGCACCGCTGGATGCGAGGCGACCCATCACTCACCCGCGCCGGCCAATGGGGGTACCCTTTCATCTTGGCGAAGATGAGGTCTCCGGGTTTGAAGTCGCGAGTCATGTTTCGGGCTGGGGGGCGAAGCCGGGGGGTCCCGAGCCCCGCGAGCAGTGGCGACGGGAGGAGGGGCGGCGGAGGGGACGCGCCTGCAGCGGGAGCGGGAGGGCGGTTAGCGCCCACCTCGGGGGGAGGGGCGCGGGGAAAGGGGGGCGCCGCTCCGCCCCGCCCCCGCGCGCGGCCTGCACAGCCCCCCGCGCGGCCGGAGCCCAGCCACCGGAGGCCAGGATGCTCGCCCCCCAACACCCCGACCCCATCATCCCTCCCCCGCCTTCCCGACGCGGACGCGCCCGAGAGGAGGGGAATCTGGGGGAGCGGAGGGAAAAAAATGGGGCACGCCCGCCAACGACCACCCCCTCCGCACCCCGCTTCGCGCCGCTCGCGGCCCCGCCGCCGTCCCCCCCCCCTCCCCCGCCGCTCGCCGGGGCCGCGGCCGCTTCCCCGCTCCCGCCCGCAGCGAGGCCACCGAGGAGGAGGGGGGGCGGGGCGGGTCCCCGGCGGCCGCTCACCTGCCGGGGCCGCGGGCTCGGACGCTGCGCTGACCGGCCGGCCGCTGCTGCTCGCGTCCACGCAGGCCACCTGCGCTACCAGCTGCCGCAGAGGCGTCTCAACGGCTGCAAGGGGCAACCGCCGCCGCCGTCGCCGTCGCTGCGCTGCTCCCGCGCGGCTCCCGCTCGGCGCCCGCTAGCACTGGGGCGAGACCAAGTGCGCGCCGAGGGAGGGGAGGCGCCGCGCCCGCCGAGGACGGCCGGAGCCGCGGCGGGGGCTTGCGAAGACCCCCGGACCGGCAGGTCCACTCCTCTTCCAGCAGGGCTTCCAAACGGAGAAAGGGAGCGCTGGGAAGGAACAAGGAAAAGGTTCAGTGGGGCGACCCGCCGCGGTCCCCCCCCGAGGTTTGCAGAATGGTCGGGCCCGGCCCGCCCCTGCTGGCTGCTCTGCGTGTGTGTATTTGTATGTGTACTGTATGTAAAAGGCGGGGAGGGAGGAAACGATTGTTGTGGACCGGGCTTGGGGGCGGGTATCGGGCCTCCAGCCCTTCGCTGTGTGATACAGAGAACCTGGCAGCCTAAACTGCATATACTTGCATCGTTGCCCAAGCCCGGGAGCCGTTATTAATGCTGCGTTTGCGCGATTTGCACCATCCAAAAAAAAAAAAAAAAAAGAGGAGGCGCACAAAAACCCATCGATGAAATGGGAGCTGGAGGCACTTGCAGGCGTGCAGCCTGTAGGCCTCCAGCACCTCGTTGGATGCACCCTGCAGTTTCCTGTTCCTTGGAATGGTAGTGAGAGAAAAATCTCATTCCATTGTATTTTAAATTTTAAGCACTTTAAATTTTAAGCTCTTCAGTTAAAAAGCAACCTAGGAAATGTAAAATGTTAAGCATTGAAAACAATGACAGGAAAAGCATGAGCCTTTTAGAAAGGATGTGGGTTTGGGCCCAGGCTAAATTTTAGCGGCATCTAAATTTTATTTCCCCAAATAGACTGTGCGGTGGTGGTACCGTGCAGAATGGCTAGCAAACATCAAGTGGTTTATCTGTCGATAATCTCAAAGATCAATACTTTCTTTTTTGATCATTTAACTATTAACTTTGGGTGGAGTCTGTGTTGTATGTATGTTGGTGGTTAGTTTGTTTTTTTAAAATACTGTGTAGCACTATGCTCAGCCTCCTGAAATTGATACCTTAATATTTTATTTCACCAGACCTATATTTCCAACGTTTTCTAATTTTATTTGCAAATGAACATCCACCCAGACTTCGATTAAGTGTGCAATAAGACATTTTGAAAATTAATTAGACTTAACTTTTACTTGCTTTTTCATCCAGTAACAGAGTGAGAAAGAGTTCTTACTGTTCAGCAGTGACCCTTGGGTGCTGGGGTTGCAGTAGCGAACCAGAACAAATGATTTCCCTTCAAAGCATAGGCTGGAAAATATGAAAAAGGGTATAATATTAAAGTAGGTACCCAGGAGTTCTTCACTAATAAATAAAGAAGTCAGTGGAGAATAAATCAGAAAAAGCTTTACTATGGGTAAGAACTGAGACATTTTATTTTTTTTAAAAAAATCGGATCTGACTGGTACAGGAGGAGATTGTCCCTCCTTCTCCAGCAGAGCATCTGGTGAATTGAGAATATTTTGAAAGAGATATGCATACCTTTAAAAAGAATGAACGAAGGCAATTCTATTGTACTGTTTTCAGTTGTCATGTGAGTTGAATGAAACTAATGGTAACTGCACCAAGCAAAGTAGAAATGCTACAGAGAGGTTTCAAGCATATATAGACTTTGGAAGCAAGATTCCCGCCCAGGTCTCTTCAGAGAAGCCTCTTGATAGGCTCAAACCATCAAACTTGTAGGCAAGTAGTGATCCAGTACTGGCCCTTTGTGCTACCCAAATCTCTAGGCCCTGTGTATAATTATATTCTACAAGAAGTTTGCAGAGATTTAATCTTATTAGGCAATATGCAGGAGACTCAATGCTGCATAGTTAAAGCACTTAACTGCTTACTAAGTGTTCTGTGATTTGAACCCATCAACTACTATACGTGGCAATATGCTTTCGGGGAGATTTACAGCCTTAGAAACTGTAGATGTATCCTCAAGGGTCACTGAGTCTGAATCCATTCAGCAGTCCGTGAGTCCAGTTTGGGCAGCGTGTAGAGGGTTCCGTGTGGGGCGTTAAGAGAAATTTACTGCAAGGAATAAGATTAGTTGGTAAGATGTTTTGAAGCATTTCATCCTGAATTTGAATCTGCTGTACAACATACTGGGGAACTCCTATGGGAACAAGAAAAGTGACCAAAAAAAAAAGTTTCTTGAGGAAGTTATCCTACCAGCTCCAAGGTAAATGACAGCAGGGACAAGTACAGGTAACTAGAGTAATCCCCAAGTGACCTTTTCATTGATGAGCCTGATGCCTGTAAAAGGGGAAAGAAGGCCACAGCCAAACAGTTCCACAAAAAGAAATTGCTGGTTGTTGGTTGTAAATCACAAACTGAGAAGGGGGCAACAGAGGAGATGGATGGAAGAAAATTCTGAGTAACTAGGAGGGATCAGGCATATTTTTGTGCATTTCTTTTGTGCTAACCTCTGCTGGGCCTTGCAGCTAATCCAGGTGTGTGTGGTCCAGAGCTCAGCTCACCAGCATCACCTGGGAGCTTGTTAGATGCAGCTCCCCCTCCCCAGCCTGGCCAAATCAGGACCTGCATGTTAACAAGATCCCCTGGTGATTCTTCCCGCCATTCAAGTTGGAGGAAGACTACTGTAGATGTTTCTGTAGAGCAGACCTTAACTCAGACTCTTATCTGACCCTCTGCTGGGTTTCCAAGGCTGTAAATCATATTGGAGACTGTGCAACCCTCTCTCCAGGGGCTGCTCCTGGATTCCAACCAGGTCAGCAGCACAACTTGCTACAAAACTTAAACTCAAATGCAGGAGACAGAACCTGTATGTAATAAGTAAGTTATAATTATTACTGAAAGGTAAACTTTCTTATTAGTGTGAGATCATAGTACCAACAACAGGTAAAGAAGGAGCTGGTTACTGTGAGACAGTGGGGTCCACTGAAGTGTAAGACAGGGGAAATGGAAACAAATACATTGTTGGTTTAGTGTTTCGTGATCTGTTCTTTTTTAAAAAAAGTATGAGCTTAGCAATTGGTAGGTTTAAATTTTGGCAATTTCAACTTGTAATAGCCTGCATACAATAGATGAAAGCTTTTAAACAAGAAGTCAAGGCAAAACAGGTGGTGTGTTAAGCCCCCAGAGAACAAAAGACCAGGCTCCTGGGAGCAGCAGTTTGCAGTTTGAGGAGGGGGTCGAGCGGGAAGGTGAGAAGAAGAGAAGGTGGAGCTCATCCCAGTTTGGCGCCCTTTATGAACTGCTGGGATCCTGCGCTGCCCTAAAGGCTGACTCTTTAGAGGGATCCAAGAAACACAACCAAGCTGGAGATCAGAGAAGCAATGGGAGAGCTATAAGGAGGGAGAATGCAAATTCTAGATAAGTAATGCAAGGGCAGCAAGAGGTGTTGAGGCAGGAGTTCGACCGAACAGTCTCTAACTTAATCCAGGTGCTACCATCTTCATTGTGTGAGAAAACGGGCTCACAGAAATTAAACTTGCCTCCAAGCATCTTGTAGTCCCCAGGTGGCACACGCAGTTAAGCACCCAACTGCTGATCAAAACGTTGGAAGTTCAAACCCGCCGACAGGCTTCCTAGTCAAGTAGTTAGGCAGTATCTGGCCTGTAGTCATGGTTCACACAGCCTCTAGGTGGAGCAGGAGGGCGGCAGCACTATGGTCAAAGAACTGGGGCCAGAGAAGATGCTGGAAGTAAACATAGCCCATTGCTCTTCCAGCATCCTCCTTTAGCCTTGAAGGTCTTCTCAGCTTCAAATTTCCTCACACCCCATCCATCCCACCTCACCCATCCACTCCCTGAGTTTGTTCTCACCTGCAGCCCATTCTGGTTCAATTCTTCTGGTTGTAAAGTGCTCAACAATCACCTCTGGGAAGGTCTGTGACTTCATTTTGTTGTTGTTATGTACCATTTTGTTGGAACCAAGCCATAGCTGACCCTCCAGCTGGTTTTCCAAGAGAGTTAATCACATGAGAGGAGAGGAGATTGGCCATCCTCCTCCTCCAGAGCAGCTGGTGGACTCAAACCTTGAGCCTTCAGGATTACAGCACAGCTTCTTACCACTAGGCCACCAGAGCTGTCTGACTTCACTTTGTTGTTGTTGTTGACTGCCTTCGAGTCGAGCATGACTCATTGTGACCCTATGAACAAAAGGCCTGAAGCTCCTCTACAGCTATCAATATTTATCAAAGTTCATATAGTTTCTGGAGGCATGTTGTTTAGGAACTGGGTGGCACTCCTGCTTCCAAACCTGTCATAGAATGTTATTGGTTGAGTTGCCTGCGGTGCATAGCAACCCTATGTACAGCAGCTCTGAACCCTTCCCTGTCCTGAGCCATTCTAATTCTGACACACCAACCCGTGTTGCCCTAGTCACTTTATAATCCATCTCTTCTGAGGTCTCCCTTTCCTGCACTGTCTGTCCGTTCTTCTGAGCATGATGTCATTCTCCAGGGACTGA